GATCCAAGGAGAGGCAGATTGGATTGCTCTTGCGTTGCTGGGGATAAGCCCCCAGCATGCCCACCCCAGGGACACCCCTGTGCGAGAGCGAGCAGGAGGGCGCACGCACGCCGTAGCAGTGACAGCCCTGCACACACCGCCTGCTAATGGCCTTCCGGAGACACGCTTCCCCCTCGGAGCCGATCTGGTGATGCCTGAGCCTAGATTGTGACATGCTCTCGTTAGCTGGCGGAGTTCCTCCTTGTTTAACAGGAGAGGGTTTCCTGTCGTCCTGACCCCAAATGACACCTTAATCTACAAACGCTGACTTTCCCTAATTGCACCTTGACAGAGAGAGAGGCAAAACCCTCCTTCCTCCTCCAAGGACTGTCATTTAATTAACAAGCAGGTGTCTCCCAGGATTTACAGCCCAGCTCTAAGCTGCTACTCTCCCTACTCAGTAACTCAGGCCTGTGAAGGCTCACTCCATTTATCTCTGCATTTCGATAACCGCATTTCTGCTAATCCCTCTCTAGGCCAGCTTTCTGGATTTACCTCTCATGGACCCATGGAGAGAGCAGTCAATCAAATGAACAGTTCTCATCTCACTTTTCATTCACTTCCTGGTTGCTGATCTGAAATGTCTGTGTTGTAGATGGCTTCATAGCAGAGCAATACCTATGTTGGCACCATTGCCAGTTTCTAGTTTAATCCAAATGTCATATCTGTTCTACAGACATGACTAGGGATAGCACACATGAAAGAGAGAGAGGGGAGAATCAGAGACATTGGGGCTGGCTGGATATCAAGAAGCATTTACTCTGTTCCTCCTTCACAAACTGGGATCATCTCTCCGCAACCTGTTCTTGACATATGTTTTCTAACAGGTTCTTAAAAAAAATCCAATATTGGAGACTCCCACAAATCCCAAGCAATCCTTTCCAGTGCTTCCTGCCCTCCTGTTAGATGTCTGAGAGCAAGGGGAAGAACAATGTTGAAAGACCATCTTGCCCATGTTGCCCAGATGGACGTAGCTTCTGGTACTTGGGGCCATACCATCTGTCCTCCTGCTTGTGAGGAGCAGATTCATTTTACTTTGGTTGTGGTTTTGTTTCCATGGTGGGTGAAGGGGTAGCAAATGGTGTCTGTCCCTTACAACTGTTTTTGTGGAGCATGCTAGGATCTAGCAAAGTCCAAAGAAAACTAGTGTATTACCGAATGTGGGTGGCTGAGAGTCAAACCCAAGACCCCTGGCTTTTGATGCATGGATGAGTAGTCTCTGAGTTAACAGCTGTTTTTTGAGAGCTCTACTTGGAGATGATCTGACTATTTTAGATCAAGTACAGCTCAAGTGACGATAGCAACAACAAAATGATCTGTGCTTAGGGACCTATACGTGCACGTGAACACTTGTGCCCTCACCTTTGACTCCACATTGGAAAGACCAGTGCTGCTATGGGATTGCCCACACAAATTGCCACAGGTATTTCCCTCTTGGCAAACTGCTACCTAAATCCCTTAATGACTTGATAGAGAGGAGATCACACAAAACAGCTGGGCAGCTGCTGACTAGGTGCATATTCCCTGTCTGATAATCTCTGCAGATTTGGTGTCTTCTCCAGCTTTGAGAGTATGAAGTGCCAGAGGAAGTGTCCTGCTGAGCACCTCCAATGACAGGGTGTGTAAACTGGCCTCCTGGACAAATGACACTGTCTACTTAATGGACATGAGACATCCAAGGACAACCGAAGTGGGAACAGGCAGGAACTACAGAGGAGCTCTGCTTCTGCATGTCTGCTCTTTAATAAATACCTTGTCTTTCAAACCTCTGCTCCTCTGCCAGTGAAAGGAAAACTTGGGGTCAAACTAGGGGAAGGAACAATTGGAATCCATACAATTAGTGTAGGACTTACAGTATAACATTCTGCTAGCTACGGCTGCCCAGTCTGCTACCAAACAATGCACAGACAATGTGTGTGTTACATTAGCTAAAAAAACCTAAGTGTAGTAGAACTGAGTGCACTTAACGTCCTGCTCTTTCCCCATCGCTGAGCATTTCTTAGTTCCTGAATCTTTCCTGCCCACCCACAGGCTGGAAAGCAAACGGGGAAGAGGGCTGGGCTGTGGAGGAGGGGACACCGAAATGCACAGACAGCACCCTGGTATTTCAAGAACTGTTGTCACTGCAATTATCCATGAGAGGTTTTATCCTGAACTTGCAGAAGTGGAACTAAAGCCCAGGGAGGAGTAACAAGAGGCTTCGGGCCATGATGGCAGTCAGGAGCAGGGCTCTGAATCTCAGGAGCTGGCTTTGCCCAGCTGTGATCAAAGACACTGCGTGAGGCTGCAAGGTTTGGGAGAAGGATAAAGAGAGGGAGAATAGCGGTTCCAGAGTGAGTAACTCACTGCGAGTCTTCTAGGGAGCTGGCATTGCTGCATCCATCACAGTTGAGCAAAGCTATAATGAATGAGGAACTAAATCCAGTTGTGGAGTTCCCTTTGATCAGCCCCTTCTGCTGGCCCGACCTGGCCTGGCCTCTCCACGGGACAGACCAGCCTTTTGGCTAGCGCTAGTGCAGCCCCCTGAAATCAGCAGGACTGGAGGGAAGTCACTCAGAGGAGAGGCCTGACCGCATCGACAGCCAGGGAGCCGCAGCTGCCTGTGAAGACCTCATCGGTTACTCGGTTCAACCTGGGCCGAGGAGAAGAGGAGGAGGAGGCAGCGGGGAGGAGAGTGGACACCAGACCTCAGCTAGCACTGCTCAGAGCTCCCTTACCCTCCACGGCAGACCCGGGAGCAGCAGCAGCTGGGATCGCAAAGGGTATTGATGCACAGTACAAGCAAGTTTTACACTGGAGCGTGGCGGGGGCGGAGGGCCGGCTGCGTGCGCATACGAGATTTTCTAGGGCAATGCGTACAAAGGCTCACATGGTCCAGAACATCATCTCTCCTGGTCGAGCATGGGTGGGCTGCCTGGCAGCACAGGCAGACATGCTGCACACAGAACAAGTGGAGCCATCTCTGGGTAGTCTCTGAGGTGCTGGGCAAGAGAAGCCGCATACAGACATGTTAACTCACTGCATCTGTAACGCTTCTCACTTGCTTTTGAGTTTGTGCAAAAGCCAGCATGCCTGGCCCACCAGGACTGCCAGCTGTGCAGGGAGGACTGTGAGCAAGGGGTTGCCCCAAGGTATGACTCAAATGTTCCTGGGAATGGGATGGCCGCTTACTCTTTGGCTGGAAAAAATCAAAGCTCCCAGCTTAGGGCATTAAGCTTAATGGTGATATCAGTGGAGATCGAAAAGGGTCTTTTTTTCTTTTCAGAGAAGGTGGAGAAGAGAAATAGAGGCCTGACCCTTAACAAAATTAATAAGAAAGAAACAAAAACCCTCAAATCTGAATCTGTTTGCCGAGTTCCCCTTCAATTCATGGCTGGTGTGGTTTTTTCTCTGCTGCATGGGAGGATTTAGCTCCTATTGACAGATGAGCTAATCAGTTCCCCTCAGCTCCTGAAGCTTTATCAAAGCCAGTTAATCATGTTACTGATGTTCGCCTGGGCCAGGGATCTCCACTTCTGTCCTCTGCCAACAAGGCAACACACATGCACACTGCACACATACAGGGATCATTTTTTTCCACTCCCAATCTCACCAACAAGAGGATGTCACCAGTGGCAATTGTGCCACCATGTAGGTGCTTCCCATCTCTCTTTCACCCGCCTTTGCCACCATTCCTTCCTGGACACATGTGGTAGCTCCACCAGCATCTTGTGGAGGAACAGGATGATGTCTACAGGCTAAGCTCACGTCTCATCAGCACAGTGGTGGCAACAGTGGGAGGAGCTGGCCTGGGTTTCAGCAGGCCCTGAGTCCTGTGCTGGAAGGATGCTGAAGCCAAAAGCCATTTGAACCCAGTTGCCAGGGTGTGCGGTCCAGACCTCTGTCCCTGCCCATGGGTCTGGTTTGCATTTGTGCCCTGATTTTACCAACCGCTGCTCTGTGATATAGTCTATCTTGCTCCTCCTGAGGGCTGAACTGGGGGCTATGCCCCCTCCCTCTGGAGTGGCCCTACCCACACAAACACAAATTCACCAAGTCAAGAGGATTGCCTTGTCGTACCGAGTTTCTGGGAGGCTCCTTCTGCCTTTATACCAGTAATGGAGGGACCCAAACATGAGGAGCTCTTTGGGACCCTCTTTGCTTCCTGGCAGGGACAATTGAACTGTTGTTATCTGGTGGCCTGTGCTTGGGTGGACACTGCTCAGGAGCATATTTGGAGTGGCTGGTGTTCACTGGACTGTTTTGGTAACCACTGCTCTTTCAGTGGCCTGCCAGGTGAGTGCCTTTTCCCATGGGTATCACCAGCTATGTTCTCCCCATCCCACAGGCCTGCACTGGGGCTGCAGCCGAAGCTCTCAGGGAGACCCTGCTGGGGCCAGGCTGCCAGCATCTGCTTTGCTGTCTGGGCTTGCTCAGTGTGGGGCAGCTTCATCCTCAGAGCTGCTCTGTACCAGCAACCTGACAGGGACCCCAGGCTGTGCCATGACCCGGGCTGGTTGGGACTTGGAGCTTCAGGGTAAGCCAAAGAAAGGGCAGCCACCCCTGTCCAGCAGAGAGATTGGGCTGGGGAGCCAAGGGGTTGCATGTAGAAGACCTTGCTGTACCCAATCATGGGGCAGTCCCTAAATTAGCTGTTCCAGAAAGGAGGAAGTTTCTTTCCCAGTGTTACTTGAAAGCCTTACACTCCCCACCCCCCCAGACCTCCCTGCTTTCCTTTTGCTCTGAAGAGAGCTTTGTTTCTCTCTGGGGTTGCTGCAGATCCCTCCACCAGCCCAGCCAAGGAGATACTCCGGGGCTGCCCAAATGAGCAGAGAGGACTGTAAAAAATGTGCTGCAAAAGCAAAGAGGAGGAAAAGATGGGGAGATTCAATCCGGGCCGAGCTCTCCACACTGTCTCCCACTCCTCTCCACGAGTGAGTGGGTGGGCAACCTCGACTGTGCCATGAGATGCGATCACCCACCTATACAGACAATGTCCATGAAGCCGTACATTCCATAGCAGATCTGGAAGAGCAGGTCCTGGCGCTGCCATTTGGCTGAAGGACTGAAGGTCGACCAGATGAGCCACGAGATACTGGCGATGAGGAAGAGGGAACCCAGGATGGCTGCTGCTATCTGAACCTTCTCAATGACTGTCAGAGAGATGGCCTGCCACTGCAAGGGGAGGCAACGGGGAGAGGAGTGGGGAAAGGGTGGAGAGAGGAAGGAAAAAGAGAAGAGATTAGTTACTTGGGGCACATCACTGTTTTACATCTTAGTGGTGGTTTTGGAGATCTCAAAGAGCATCTATGACTTATATGTGCACCTTATGCATAGATGCTTTTACTTGGTCCACATCTGGGGTGGAGCATGGCAATTGTTCAACAGTGCATGGCCCAATGTTTCCTGACAGCATTGCTGAAAAGGAAATGGGGCGGAATCCTGCATCTCACCAGGAAAACACAGAGATCCGAGGGAGGCAGGATGGACTGGGGGCAAGACACCAAAAGTAACATCCCTGTGACAGTGGGGCTGTGATAGCCATCACAAACCAGGACATTCAGTTGCTACCTCAAATGGAGGCCAGGCAGCATCCTTGGCCAGGGCATCCTATTACCATGAAAAGAAGTGTCTCAGAGAGACAAGCTTTCCTTCGGAGGCTTCCCATGTAAGCCATGAGCTGGCTCTGCGCCACTTTGTGAGATCTGACAGGATCACAGCACTAGGTAGGCTCTTGCAGCCGCAACGCACATCCCACAAAACTTGTTACAAACAACACAAGTTGCTGTGGTCAGGTTAGGTGATGACACATTCAGGCTGTGTTCCAAGGTAAATGCCGGTGTTTCTTCCTCAGAAGAAGAAAAAAATAGAAATATCTCCCCCAAATCCATTCACTATGTCAAATAGCTTTGTATAAGCTATGGTATAAATATCCTAAGCCTTGACTCCTCTCTGTCATGCAGAATAAAAGCTCCCTATCTAGATTTACACTGCTGAGAGAACTGCCCTGTAAAAACCAAGAGCAGAAATTGCTTTCTTTAACAAGACCTGGGGACATGGTCCATAGGCCCTTCTGCAAATCAGAAACCAAATGCATAAACAGGCTAGGGAGAGACAGTCTCTCCTGGCATCAAAGTATATAGGCCACCTTTAGCTCTGAGATACATGGCCTTGAAATCTCAGTGGGACTGGCAGAAGGATAAATAAAGGTGTGCTTCAACCTCCTGCAGGTATAGAGGATTCAGAGGAATTGAAAATATTTAGCCTGGATTCAGCCCAAATTCAGTGTCCCTGTGAGGTAGCACCTCTGGCAAGCCCTGAGCACCCTGCCCGTTTGTCAAACACATCCTGGGACAGCAGTCACCCATCAAGCCTTGCCCCCATCCTTTTGCAGGGCAAGAAGAGAGAGAGTTCAGTTGTTGGAACCCTCTGTAATGCCCAGGCCAGCCAGGAGTTACTAGTGTTTTTTGGGAGGTAGGGAGGCCATTGAACCCTGCTTGAAGGGCAAGAAGGACAACAGATGACTTGTGCTGGTACATGCATGCATGGCATTGCTACCAGTCTGATGACCAAACCCCTGAACCAAACACACTGCCCTGCAGAGGGCTGCCTTTGGAGAGGAACAGACAAGAGCTTCAGCCCAAGGCTAAGGTCTGCAGGTTGCAACTGGAAAAACATTGCCTGGCTTGGCTAAGAGGTGAGCTGAAGTGTCTGCTTCTGCCAGCCTTGCACCTTGGCTTACGTCCTTCAAGGCTAGACTGCCCTCAAATCATATCAGGGATGTGCAGCATCAGTTAGGTGGGTGGTACCAGCTTATTTCGTAGTTGGCCACAGAGTAGATGGCCGTAATGCTGCTGAGCAGAGAGCGAGCTTGTTCCCTGCTGAAGCAGGACTGTGATCAGCTAACTCCAACCCCCTTCCCAGGCTCCTGGGCTCAGCTAACCCCAGTCCCCTTCCTGCCATCCTCTCCAGCGGCTGGCCCAGCCGGAGGCAAACACCGAGCACGGGGGCCATTCAGTGAGCTCTTCAACAGCCCATTCCCACTCTGCTATGGCCTGACCCACTGCACGCCTCCACCAAATCCAGCCACACCAGTGGATCCTTTGTGCCATGAAGAAGTTGAGGTAGTGAACGGCCCCCTTAGGGCTGGAAGCTCGGTGGTGCCTGTCGCAACAGGAGGGTCAAGGCTAGATGCAGGGGTGCTGGAGTCCGCAGGACATGCATAGCTGTGCCACTCCTCTCCTGTCCACCAGGAGGCAAAGACCACCCAGCACCTACGGCCCCCAAATTTGTGTTCTGAGGGTGGGATCAGCAGCTCTGCTGCCTCCCGTCAGCTCTTCAGCTTCATCCTCAACAGCACCATAAGCGGATGCAGGACAAGTCGGCAACAGGTGCCATCAGCTCAGAGCTTCAGCCCTAGAGGCATGTGGTGGGGAGGGGGTTTGGGTACATGTGTGGCGTTGCACTTTCACCCCTGCAGCTTTCCCCAGACCTTGTCTCCCCTTCCACTAACTCTGGCAAACGCTGAGGGGTCGGGAGTGCAAGGAGGCCGGTGCACAGCCTGGTGCTGCGTGTGAAGGTTTTACTGCAGGTCCCTCACGCTGACCCGTGCGTGCCCGTGCCAGCCAAATCATTCTGCATCATTTCTCTCTCTCGAGGAGGTAATGGACTGGCTCCTCACCATCTGTCTGGCACACTGCAAGGCCTGTGGTGGCAACAGGTCCTTCCAAGGTAGCAATTAAAGACCAAAAGAGAAGAAGAAATTGTTTTCTGCAGCTAGCCCTGACGTGCAACTAGCACCACTGCTTTGCTGAGAGAGGGAGGCTTAAGTGTAAATACCCTCTGAAAGGGGATGTGGCTCAGAGCACCTGAGCCCTTCGGTTGGGAACAGAGAGGCTGAAGCAGAGGCAGGGACGCTGCCTGACACTGCTTAGCTGGCAGCAGCTGCTGGGAAGTTTGTGCGGCGATAATGAAGAGGCTGGAGCCGGTCAGTCGTGCCGGGGGTAGGAGACTCTCCCCTGGCATCTGGCACTAAGTGACAGTGACACACGCAGCAGCAGTCCTGACTCTGTTCAGGAGGTGGCACTGGGGTGTGATTACCCTCTGGCAAGGAGGTAAATGGGTCAGAGCTGATCACTGGGGAAAATAACTAGCTTGCAGAAGAATTTAATGTTTTCTAGAAAAAAAAAAGTCATAAATGTTGTATTTCCTCTCTGGCAACCCTGAGTATTGCAATTTAGCATGGCACATCTAGCCCAAGCCACCAATAACAGGGGTTGTTATTTTTCATCTTTTAATTCCATTTTGCTACACTTCTTAGGGCATAAGGTTTGCACAGAGAGAAGAAAAGGGGTGAGAGAGAGGATAAAGCATGTTACCCAGCGAGAGTGCAGACGGAAGGATCCAAGAGCTTTCGGAGGTGGAACATGCTGATGAATTTCAGCTGCAGGAGCTGGGCCGGATGCGTTCCCGCACTGGTGGCCTCGGTAGCCCACCTCAATCACAGCACTTTGCCTTTCAGATTTCATAACAGCCCTTCGAAAATCACCTGTTCTGCTAAACCCTCTCCCACCATCATTATGGCCAGCAGACCAGGGATTTGGTGGGTGACCCTATTGCCCTCAGTTCACCGGTAGAGCTGCAAAGAAAGGTCCCTGCAACACTGCAGAGTCCCTTTACCGGCACATCGGAAACCTCCAAAGCTCTTTGTCTGAATGCCTGGATGCAGACACAGCCACCTCCCTCCAAATATCCAGCTCAAACATTCAAGCTTTAGCAAGGTCAGAGTGTCAAGCAATCCCACCTTGTGGGGAAACACCTAAACCCGAGCCCTTCTTTCCTCAGCTGATAATGACTGTTGAGTCCCAGGTAGCCTCTGAGCTGTACTGAAATACATCTTTAACACCCAGCAGCTCATCCAGGTTGTCACATCGGAATGTGGCCTTTAGGCAGGTAGAAAGCTCTACAGATGCTCTGTCAGCACTGAACAGGGCAGAACTAAGGACTCGATGGTACCAGAAAGTCTTAAAGGCTGCTGTAGTATAACAGGAGCAGCTTTGTGAGCTCCAATGGGCTCACAATGGCTTCAGAGCATGCCCAAGCAGCTCTCTGCGATGTTTTGCCGCCCACGCTGGAAAAAGGGCTCCATCCCTCCAGACTACTCTGAAGAAATGTCCTCATTCACTCAGGAGCTGTCTGTCTGTCCTCTGCTACCATCCCCCTTGGCCATCTGCTTTGGCACACCATCCAGATGTGCACATGCAAAACACCACGCTCTCTTGGACTGATTTCCCCCAGGTTTCCCCATTTCCCCCAAATCACAAAGCTCTGCGACCCAGATGCTTCAGAAAGGGTTCCTTAGGAGCCCAGATCTCACATTTGTGGTGACCTTAGCCAGGGACCGGTGCCTGCCAGTCATGTCACTCTTGTTCTCTTGCACCGTTTCATAACCTACTTGGGATAAACCTGTTCCCCTGTTTGCTTCAGTGCTTCTGCTCAGAGGCTTGTGAGTGAACCCCCCCCCACCGCTAACGTATTATGACAGATTAATAATGTCATTACTATGGTATTTAAGGCCTGATCCGTATTTCCTTTTCTTTGGCACCAGCAGTCTCCAAAGGTTCCCAAGCACCTGCACGAGCAGATCCAAGGCAGGTATTTGCCTGCAGAAGGTATCTATGTCTTACTGCAGCAGCTTGCTAGGAAGACTTGCTTGCTGGAAAAGCCTCCCTACACTCCTCTGAGAGCTCCCCCATGCCTGCCTCAGGCAGTTCAGTTTATTTTTATTGCTGTATCTGACACGTCCCCTTAGTACGTATCATTAACATCCTGAGCTGTGCTAGTCAGCGTTTTCATTTTCAGACCCAGGATCACAAACAAGCAGAGGTTTTTCCTAGAAGGATGGAGTGGACCATTCCCAGCACTGCTTAGGTCTGGCTCTCCCCTCGCTGCTGTCCCAAGGCCCTGGCCATCCTCCTCAATTATCTTTTGGAGGATGGCTTTTCTTTTTATAAATTCACCAAGCAAAGTTATGTCACCACTGTGGTAGCTTCCCTGCTGTACATTTACAGATGCTGTTGCTTATTCAGGTACTGGAAAGGCAGCAGGGAGGAAGGAGGGTCCACTAAGGCCGTGCAATGGAAACGTGCAGTGGTGAAACCCCCTCTCCTCTGTGTGCCAGAGCATCTGGTCAGACTCCGGCTACAGTCCGGGCACCCTGGAAAGCCCCCGTTACAAGGCGCAGGCACACACTGCTTGCAGGCTTCAGGCTGCAGCTGGAGCTCAGCAGGGACCAGCCAAGGCTCGTACTCAACACTCGACAACAGCAAGTTGGGACACGCAGGAGACCCCACTGAACTTGTCTCGGGCTTTTTAGCTCAGGAGCTCAGGCTGAAGTTCAAACACCCTGGGACCTCAGCCACTTTTCTTGCGGATGTAGGAATCCTGATGAAGGGGCCATACAAACCAATGCTCATCAGCTCTTAGCAGAGCATCAACACCATCAAAATAGATTCTGAGGAGAACTAGAACTGGATCCCAACCTGAGGATCTTTGAACCTGAAACAACCCACAAGACACAGAGTCAGAGTTAACAACTGTAAAAGCAGGGTTGAACTCCCTGAGACTGCAGACAGTTGTAGGTCTGGGATGGTTGGTTCAAACGGATCTTGTATTTGCAAAAACCAGAGTATCAGGGTGAACGTGGCTCAGGACTGGCTACAAAGGAACCGTAGAGATGAGATCCACTGCAGAGTCACATCACGGCAGGTACCTGTTCCACCATGTATCAGCACCAGAGTGCCTGCAGTGCTATCAAAATACTGAGTCTTCAGGGCATTTTTAAAGTCCTGGGCTTTGCACAAATATTGCAATGGAGGGGAGTATTTAAAGCCTCCATGCCCCTTACTACTGTCTCAGTGACTGGCAGACTGGAGAGCAGGAGGATGGACGGATGGACAGACGGACAAAAGCTCTGGATTTTCTGTTTGCTCACAGCTGGTGGGATATTTTTGCTCATTTGCTGTCTGGCTGCTGCTTGGCAGGACACTTGCCATGTTGTCCAACAACTTTAATCCCCTGGTCTCAGCAGGTTTGCAGTGTGGCTGCTTAAAGCATTTAAGACCTTTGCTCTTAAATGCCTGCAGTCCGGGGATGGGGGGAGAGAGGGGCGTTAATTTATAGAGATTCATTCTGCCAAAATACCAGACTAAAAGCCTCTCTCTGGTATGAGACATCATAACAGCCTGGAGGCTGGAAGGAGTCTGTGTTAATTATGCATGAACCATGTTCCCCCGGCTGTAACTTCTCTGCCCACGCCACAAGTCTCCACACACATCTGGCCCATACCATCCTCCTAGGCACTCCAACAAATGTGCAGCAGATGTCAGAATGGGCAGAGAAACATGCAGATCCCAGGGAACGTGTGGGTGTTGGGTGTGCTGCTCTGCTTGGACCAATTGGACATGCTTCAAGGAGCCCAGGGCCTGCCAGCTGCCTGGGTTTGGCTTTCCAGCAGTCTGTTGCATGAGAGGACACAGGGATAGTCAAAGGGGATAGGTGGGCCATGTTGCTGGTTAAAATCTAGCCAGGCTCAGAGCATCACCCAAACCGACTTCATTTGACAAGGAGGTGAGGTTTGTATGGTCCTTGCCTGTATTATGGTTGGTCTGGAATAACAGACAACCATGATTTCCTACAGCATTTGCTCTCCAAAACCTCTGTTTGAGAAGTTCAGAGCTTTCTAGTAAGAATAAAGGCAGGCAGAAGTGCCAGCAGACCCTGAGAAGAAAGACCAGGGACTACTGCTTTACTTAGAGACATGCTGTATGTCCAGGTGGCTCCTGCTGTCCACACATGGGGTGAAGACCAAGCAGAAAGGATGCTCTTCCCACCTGCACATTGTTATGGCACATAGTGCAGGGCATTGCAGCCCCTAGGTCCTCTCTGCCTCCCTTTCCCAGCATCAGAGGATGGTGAGAGCCACTGGGGAATGAGGGAGACCCTCGTGGTGTGCGTGGTGACGGGCTACAGGGGGCCAGAGACCTTAGTCCTCGCGGGACGTCCAGGCCTGGTACATCAGCCACTTCCCACGGGATTTCACATACTAGTGCTAGTGTAGCATCTGCTTCCCAGAAGCGCCTTTGTGCTGGCACCAGACAGGGTGCCTGGGCACGCAGCTGTAACTCCACACACGCTGCATGGTCACATCCAGACCAAGTGGCTTTCCATTCCAGTTGCTTCTTCCCACCCTCCGAATCTCCCAGTGCTTCTGCGAGAAGTGCTGTGAAGTCTAAGCCAGTGACGTGAAGCCTCTGAGCCTGGCGTCTGCACGGTCCTCTGGGACCCTCGCTCCTGGAGCTGAGCTCTCCAACTCGGTTGCTCCTGCCGCTCAGTTTTTGTGTTCACGGCAAAGGCCAGCAGATCAGGCCATGTTCTAACAGGGGAGCCAAAAAAGAGCAATCCTTTGCGCAGGCTTATGAATGTGTGTGTGGGAGGGGAGCTTGTCCGTGAATAGCTCTAATAAATTTTAGCTGCGTGAGGAGCAGGAGGAAAGTCACTGACCCATTGCCCTGAGCCACCCGAAGGCATAGAGCGTTTGGAGGTCATTCATTAAAGGCAGTGCTGGCTACACGCACGCTCGTAAATCTGCACCCACAAACCTTCAACACTGCTCAGCATCGCGCCTCTGACCCGGGACACAGGAAGCATTAGGGCACCCATGGACCAACTTTCCAGAAATAAACAACCACTGCTTTGTCCACATCTCCCCACATCTCCCCTCCTGTGCTTAGAAGGAAACTGAGTTACTAGAGCCAAGAAATTAAAATACCCTGGTCTGGGGCTTGGGATCCAACTGCTGATCCCTCAGCCCACGGCACATGGAAAATTGAATCAGAAGCTGTAGGGACTTGCAGAGAGCAGGCAGTCTTTTTCCTTCCCGCCAGCAAAATTTCCCCAGGATGCCCCGCTCATTTCACTACTTCATTTAAGTCTGGATTCCTAAAGGGCTGTCCCTGTTTCCTCACTGTGGTTAGTACCTCAGGCATGGAAAAAGACACACAGAGACTGCAGTTTGGAGGAGAAAGCAGGACTTTGCGTTCCCTCCCACCCCCGTACAGCTGGGCACCATCACTCCTGTTAGAGGGCAGAGCGACCAGCAGAGAGCCAAAGCCCTCCACCAGGTGCTGGACAGACCCACATCCTTACGGACAGTGCCCTGCTCTCTAAACCACAGCGTGCTGCTGTAATGTCTCTCCAGTCCAGATGATGCTAATTAAGCAGTAGTGCCTGGAGGTAATGTGCTTCCATACGTCCGAGGCACTAATGGTGCTCAGCAAAGGCATAGAGCAATTAGTCCATCTTCAGGTGTTGCCCCCACAATAAATCAATAGCTATTAAGGATAATTTATCCCATTTTTAACAGTCACACAGTTTTCCCCATTCTGAATCTCAATTTCAAATTACCAGCCTGCAGTGGGGTTTATTAAGCCACGGTGCTTTTGACCTTGGAAGAGAAAGAAGGTGGGTTCTCTGGTGCCCTTCACAGCCACTTACATCAGGATGTGCTTTTTATGTGTCATGTACATCTGCAAATGTCCACCAAGAATCAGGGTTGGAGAGACCAAATCATCACAGCCAACACCTCTTGTGCCATGCCAGGATGTATTGGATCATGGGGGCACAGTAAAGTGAAAAGGATGGCAGGATCAGAGAGGAGAGCTGTAAGAGCCCTCCATCCGCCTCCTCCATCCCTCATGCCAACACGGAGGAGGCCTAGCAGGAGATCAGAGTTAATGGCACAACTCTAGACACACGGGGTCTCAATATACTGCTGTGCCACGGACTGTGTGCTCTGCTGTAGCAAATCCATGACTCCTTTGTCCCCACCTGCCCCTGGTGACAGCGGCATACCTGCGGTCTCCGGTGGATGAACACATTTGAAGGACTGTGAGATGTTACAGCGCTGTCATGGTCACCCAGGTTTTTTTTCAACAGGGGGAAAATGAATGTGGGAATTGTCGAACGACAGAAAGAGCAGACATCCGAGGGATGCCCCCGGTACCACCGAGCAGAACATGGACCCTCTTTGGACCAGCCCCTGACAACCCTTTCTAAGTGTCTCAGACGTACTTAGGGAAGGAAAACCCACACAGGTAAAATCCTCTTGCTCCCAGAAACAAAAATAGAAGCGAGGATAAATAGACTTTGAAATGTCTCTAGTACCTTTACCTGCAGAGGGTTCTTTGTGCTTATGGCAATGACGTGATACTTGTAGTAACACAGCTCACAGCTCCAGCAGCCTCTCTCACTAATCCACTTGATCAGACATGGCTGGTGCGTGCACTTCACCGATCCGTCGCATCGACACGGGCTCAGCAGCTCCCCCTGAAAGAGAGACAGCATCAGCGGGGCTCCCCTCCTCCCACAGGGCCTGAGCATGGCACGGCACGGCACGGCACGGCAGAAGCTGGTGCTGGCCAAAGTGCTCCATCCTCCAGCCATTTGCTCTTTTTTCTTTTTTGCCTGGTTTAGCTTAGGTAATCGTCCTGCCTCCATCCATTTTCCCTCTAATAATTCTTGGTTTATGTGAACAGAGCTTGACAGGGATGTAACGGTCTCAAATACTTGGGTCCTACAATTTTTTGTGCAAAGAGACAGTTGGGTAGCTAAGAGATGCCTAATATCACCGCAGAAGGAAAAGCTAGATGAGCACAGCTCTTACTAGACACCAGAGGACCCACACAAGACCACAACGAGTGGACACAGCTCTGTTGGCAACCAGATGCCACTGTTTCACTGCTCAGGCTTCTGGGTCTCTGCCACCTACTTTAGAAAGCGAGGCCGGCGGTGGGGATAGCTGCGAGACAGCCTCTGCTGGGCTGGGGTCCCGCGCAGCCCAGGGTGGCGTCCTCGAGCCCGGCCGGCCGGAGCGGGGACACAGACGTGGCGGCCCTTGGACTCTCTGCGCCGGCTGGCTTCGCCCGCAAAAAAAAGCTGGACTGAGGCCAGGACGTGCCAGGCGGTGGGTGGGTGTCTGCAGCGCTGGACACAGGACTCTCCTTCCCAGTGCTGCCGGACCCAGAGGGACAAGCCTGGCCGTGGGTGGCAGGTGTGTGCTTTGAGTCCAGGGCATTGTGTACCCATAGCCCAGCAGAGAAAAGGTCCTCAAATTTCACCCCCCATCCACTTCCCGCAGACAGTCTGTCCTGAAAGTGAGGCATACTGATGGATAGCCTGTAGGGCTGGCTATTTCCACCCTAGAAGCAAGCAAGGTGGAGAACAAATTGTGTCCTGGCTTATGACACACAGATATTTATCAGTGGTGGCCAAAATGCTGAACCTCCTGGCTCGCTCCCTTGTTTCTGGTGTAGCTTTAAACATACTATCCAAGAAACCCCAATATTATTCTGATCTATCTGCTATCGTCCTGCTCACCACGGGACTAAATTCCTCTTGGCACACACAAGCTCAGGAGCTCATTTTACAGACATTTGCCATCATTTATTTAGGGAAGAACAGAGCTATTACATTTTACTCCCCACCTTTTAGTGTTTAAAAGCCACAGTATTGACCCCAATAGTGTACGTAGCTGTGCTCCAAGATTTGAAACCATTCAAAGGCAGCATGAGAATATCTACGGGATGGGGAAGGCTGGCATCATACTTTCAGTGCTGGGGCGAGGATATTTCCTCTGACACCCCTAAATCAGCCCCATCATTACCACTGACAGAGCACCAGGATAACAGACCCTGGCACCTGAGGCTGCTGGACACAGCAAAAGACACCCACCCCAGCTGCCTCGGGTTAGGAAACCAGATCCTGCTCTTGCTAAGCCTGGTGGGAAACTGTCTTAGCTTTCAGGGTACCACATCAGGTCTTGGGACCTGAGGAACTGAGCACCACACTGGGCAAAAGTGATACTTTTTTTATGAAACCTAATGCAAACATGTTAATAATTTCATTTTTTCAGCTAGGTGACCTAAAAATGTCATCTTCCATGAAATTTTAGCAAAACTGTAAATAACTGTTTACGTTACAAAACCAGGCTCAGCTCTACCTGTCACTGGTTTTCTTCACCCACTGGAGGGGGTGCAAAGGGAGAGGGGGAGCAAGGAGGGTTGTAGGATCCGTGAGCCTTTTTCACCTGGGAAGGTGCGACAGGACAAGCCCGGAGAAGGGAAGCAAGGAAGCGTTAGATGGCAGGAAGGTGTGTGTGGGAAGGAGCACTGACATTAGGCATTCAAACTCCCCTGTGTGAGGTGCAGTCTGAGGGGCTCGGGTTCGGCTGTGCGTGTTGGTGTCCCTTGCTGGGACTGGGTGGGCGACCACAAGTGTGATAAGGAACCCGCAGGAGCATGTATTGCCAGCCAGGATGCGAGCGGGGAGGGATCGGGGCTCAGCACAGCTCCCCTGATCCCCTGCTTGCTAAACCTGTGCCTGCTGCACCCCTCTTCCATCCCAGGAGCCAGCCCAGTGCAAGGACCGCTGCTCCGTGCATCTGGTCTACCCTCCTCCTCTCAGTCCCTGCTGCTTTATTTTCTCAGCAGCTTCACCCCTCCAGCGCACCAGTGTGATCCCAGCACCAAGCAGGTAATGCAGAAACCTCCCAGCTCTGCAGCACCCCTGCCTTTCCACCTCGCCGCACACTGGGGTTATCTGAAGGGCTCAGAAACCCACCAACTGGGTTTCGTCTAACCAACAGCTGGAGGCACCGGTGATGAGGGATCAGGAACAGGGCAGAACAGAGCAGAAACAAACAGCAACAACCTCCAGGCAACAGCAGAGGACAAAAACTGTAGCTATACCCTGGACTCGTGTTGGCTTCTTGGGCTCTGTAATAAACAAGTCTAAAAAATCTGAGCTTGTCTCTTCAGAACCAAGAGTTGTCCATAAACATCCTCCACTGCTGCGGGGACCCAGTCCCCCTTTCCTAATGGGGATGCTCCAACCCAGACAGTCCTGCTGGCTCCTGCCAGAGCTCAGGACTCAACCGTGGAGATGAAACCCCCAGTTTCTTGATTTTTGCAACTCTAGCAAAAACCTAATTTTCTTCAGCCCTGTGAAATATTACAGCCTTGCGTGTGGCACACAGCTGCTTTTGCATACTGCGAAGCCCCATTCTGTCCGCAGCAGACATTCATAAAACACTGCCGTATGCACACACGTGCACACGGGCGCCTGTACCAGCAGAAAAATAAACACCAGGGGCATATTAAAGGGATAAATCCTTCGTACAGCAAAGGAGAAAGAGTCTCATCACGGGCTGTACAGCGAGCTCAGGCGCAGTCCCTTGGCTGCGATACGCACGAAGGATTCGCTGTGCGGAGACCTCTGCTAAAAGCTGCACACACACAAAAACGAGCCCAAAGTGGGGTGCAGATCACAGCAATTAGGGATAGAAATTAAATCCCCATGCCCATTTCTGTAGGTTTGTCGGAGACCTCTCTGCACAACGTATTCTCCAGTGCTTGAAGCTACAGTGTTCCCACCAATTCCGTTGGGGGAACTGCTCTCCAAAGACCCGTTGAAAGGTCACTTCCCAACGCTTGTTTTTGCGATTTTCCTTTTTAGAGTTACAGTCCGTCGCTCGGATCAGCCTAAGCAGCATTTCTGCTTTATCAGCAACTAGTGGAGAAATGCTCCCCGGCAGCAAGCTTCATCTTCAGCTTGCTCAGTACCATCTTGTTCCCCTGAAACAACCAAGTGAGCTTAGGACTCAGGGCACCCACCTTTTTTGTTGTTGTTGTTGGTATCCAAGTCTAAATTAGAGTTCATGTCAAAGGTGGAAACCCAGAGTTAACAAAAAGGGAAGGGTGGCTCTGGCTTCAGCCATAAGCTTCTCAACGTATGGATGAAATACTCTTCTCTATATATTATTACTCTACTTCTGGGAAGGGTAATATATTAAGCAATTATGTATAATATTCTTCCCTGTTTCTGGCTGTGATGGGAGCGTGTCTCTAGGGGCAGCGGTGGCAAGGCCAGGCTGAACTGGCTTTACCCTGAGGAGGACAATACTGCTGGAGACGAACTGGGAGTGCAGGTCTGTTCCAGCTCTATCCTCTCCTTATGAATTCCCGATCTGTGCCCGTTGCAGCACGCCAAAGTGGTTAATGATTATCTGGGCCCTGCTACTTTAAGCCTACTGGGAGGAATTCTGAGAAAGGATGGGAAAAAAATTATTGCCAGCGCACGTTTCTGATGCTCAGTCTGTCTAGGGAGAAAATAACAACGTCAGGAGCAGCATCACCCCCGTTGCATGCTGGTGTCGGTGTTTTTCCCAGCTGTTTCGTCCGTCATTTACCAGTGCTGGGAGCCCATTCACACATTGCTACCAGAGCTGCAGCTGCTCACCCACCAGCAGGCGGTCATGGGATGTGTTTTAACTATAGATTAACTACAGCAAATTCGCCCACCCGGTCTCCTTTGAACATGGCAGGCCTGGGGACGATGGTGTCATTGGGCCAGGTCATGGTCTCCCGGGGTCTCCCAGCTCCAGCTGTGCTGACCTGTGTCTGCTGCCTGGGCTGCTCCTGAGCACCAGCTCAGCTAGAAAGAGCCACATTAGCAACATCCTCCTACCACAGCTGCTAAAGCAAACGATTTGAAAACCAGTGCAAGGTGTACAGCAAACCGGGACGGCTGATGTTGATCTTAACACCTGCAGCTTTTCCTCAGCTGTGTGTTTTCCCTGCTCAGGTGTACAAAGCAGCATCGGTCATTAGCACCATGCCCAGGACCAGTGCCCCAGGCCACAGCAGGGCAGTGAGAAGAAGCTAAAAGAGTTGTCCATGCCACGAGGGCTACCATCTCTCTCTGGGTATGCACATGCAGCTGCCACTGCTCACAGGAGTAGCTGCACGCATGGATCTGACTGGCAGCATTTATCTGAGTTTGTCTTGTTTGGTAAAGGAGACCAGAAATATTTAATTTCAGGTCTTCAACTGAGTCCCCTAAATACACCTAGATCTTCACATCGAATTTAAATGCAATGGGAAGTTTTATTATGGCAAATAAATGCCAAATGATTTCTATATTAGGAACATAATTACAGAGGAATTAAGTCAAATGGCCAAGAGAAACCCATTGTTACAGAGCTGGTAAACTTCAATAAACATGTACTAATGATCACTCTGTCTTCACACACACTTACAGGAACTGCCCCTCCATCCTTTCAAACTAAACACACACATAACTACCAGCATCTCAGCCGCTTTCTGAGTATCCTCCTGTGTGCCAGCCAGCAACAGGCAACAAGGGACACATAATAAGCACCTATGAATATGTGTATTGCATGAAATTCTCCAGCATTTTGGGAGACTGATGCAGAGTGTGGACCCAGCAAGGAGTCAGTGGGCTTGCATCTCCCGCGGTGTTGGGACAGCACAGGGCATGGTTATGCAGAGGGCTCTGCGGTGGGGTGGCATCTGCCCAGGTGCCCAGGCACTGACCCCAATCTCTGTGTCAGCAATGATTTGCCAAGAGACTTTCCTTGGGGGG